GGTCATTACCTCTAAACGCCAAGAAACTTTTTTATGAAATTTGAGTTCTGTAAATTAATTTGAATCATATTTAAAGTTTTTGAAAAAATTTTGTTTAAAATACTGTAAACCCACACGAAGGATTGGGGGTATCTGTAATTTTGTGATAATGTTATATGAGGCGGAAGACGGATAAAACTATCAGTCATAATGCAATAATACTTTCTCATTATGTTTATGTTATCATAATTGTTTATTACCTGCATGAATTTTTAGTTTCCAAGTCAAAAAATTTGAAATAAAAATGAATTTGAAAGCTCATTAATTTGTCATCTGGTCACGTGACCTGGGCATGATGACTTATTATGCGATTTCTATCTTCAATTTTATAAAAGTTTTAAAAACTACAAAGTAAAAAACTACTAAGTAATCTCACTAAAGCAACACAAATAAATACGTGTCACAAAAAAAAAAATTTTAAAAAGTTACACCTAAAGGGCACCATTTATTTTAAATAACCAAAAGAGGATCCGTGGTTCAAATCACACCTAAGAAGTCCTTATCACAGAGCGGCGCTCTGTGATAAGGACTTCTTAGGGGACCTAAAAAAAATAATTTTTAATAATTTAACTTAACTTTGATAATAAAAAAAATTATAAAAGTTATTAAGAAAACAAATTAAAAACAATTGCCTGAGTTTTAAGTCATCCTGGCTTATATGTATTGTAAAACCTTTTCCATTATCAACTCAAGAGAAACAAGAAATGCCATTGAAACACATAATATTATTTTATAAAATTGTTAAGACAAAGAAACAATTTAAATAAAGTTATGTTTAGAGCAATGTTAGGAAAAAATATTGACAGAAACCTGATTTACTAAATTTAATACTCTTTCTCAAATTTCACGGTAGTATACCGTTATTTTGATAAACTAACCCGTAAGTTGTTGTTCACGACTAAGATACCGCAATAACAACAGTACAATATCGTGATAGCCGATCACAGGGATATTGTTCATGGTATAGTACCGTTTTAATTTAACACTTAAGTTTTAAAGTTTAGTAATGAATATCTCGCTCTCTCGCAGTCAATTCGTAAACGAAAACGGACTTGAAAACTTTGTATTAAATGTTTTCACTAGCTGCGTTGTACTAAGTGTTCGCAAAATTTTCTTTTTTCGCGTTAATAATAATAATTGTATGTCTATAAATAAAAACATTGAAATTGTTTAAAAAAACTGTATGTTCAAATGGAACAGCAACCTTAACTTCGATCATGCTTTTAGAAGAGCATTTTAAAGATTCGTAATTGGTAATTTCAAGAAATGCACATACTCCTATTATCGCAACCATAACCAAAATGCGTTTTATATCAAAGGTACGACCAAGATTGGTTTATCAATCAAATAGTTACGTTTTAAGATCCGTTAAAAAAGCAAAAGTTTGAAAACCTAAAACTTATGAAAGAAATGTTATACACTCTAGAGTATTGACAAAATCAATAATTGCATTTTTTTTAATAGTCTTGTAGACAGGCTTGTCTAGATATTGAAGTTTGTAATACTTTCAAGGTTATTTTTATACATAGATGGAAACTATAACTAAGATTGATGACATATAATAGTAATCTCTACATACATTTTGCATGAGTCTAATAATAAAATTTAAAGTGTGGCTAAATAAATTTGAAGTAAAAAAAAATCTTCATAATCTTGAATCTCTTATATAAAGTATTAGAGATTCAAATAGGAAGTATAAGAAAAGTGTACTAGAAAGTAGTAAGAAAGTAGTACCAAAAAGAAGTACTAAAAATAATTACTAAAAATAAATGCTTGAAAGAATTGTTAGAAAAAGTTGAAGAGAAGAGCTATGAAGAGAGAGTGCAAGAGAGTAGCTATAGAGTGCAGTACTGGGAAGAAATACTAGAGGGGAGTTTTTTTAGCAAAGTACAAGAGAAAATTAGTGAAGAGAAGTCTATAGAAATACTTGGGTGAAGTACTGAGGAGAAACGCAAGAGATAAATACTAGAGCAGAGTATTAGAGAGGAGTACTATAGAAATGTTTTTGAGAAAACTACTAGAGAAGAATACTAAAAAGGAACACTGCAGAAGAGTATTAAGGAAAAGTAATTGAGTTGAGCATTAGAAAGGAATAATATTTTAAAAGAAACTTTTCTTTTATACATCTTTCTAGAACTGCTTTCTACTTCTTCACTCAAGTACTTCTTCTTAGTACACCTCTAAAATGTTCCTCACTATTATTCTTCTCTAGTAGTTTTCTTTAGAACTCCTCTCTGATACTACGTTTTAGTATTTGTCTCTTTTCAGAATTAGAAAATGGCTGATAAGATCTTTGTACCTGATAAAATAAACAGTAGTTTTTAACCACTTGATTATTAAAATATGCACTTGAGTTTTTAGTTGAGAAATGGAATATGTAATTTTGTGTAAATATTAATTCACTTGAATGTATATTTAAATAAAAACTTGAATTTTATTTGAAAATAGAACATGTGCTTGAACAAATTTGAATATGTACTTAAAATATGAAATATTTATGCACTTAAACTTGATGTTTGATATGAGATTTATGTTTTTGTTGTTAGTATTTTTGAGATTTATATTGGCAGTAGTTTTTAATAACATGACCGAATGAATTTTTGCGAGATTTTTTTTTCTATAAGTTTAAATAGTTGTATATTTATTTGTATACTAAATATAAATATACAATTATACAATAATAATTATACAAAAAAAATACAATAAGTATATAAATAAATATACAATAAATATACAATAAATATACAAACAAGTATACAGTGAATAAACAATAAATGCAGAAATAAATATGCAATAAGTATAAAAATAAATATACAATAAATATAGAAACAAATATAGAATAAATATACAACCAAATATACAATAAATATATAAAATAAATTTAAAAACAATTTACAAACAACCATACAATAACTGTATATTAAACATAGAAATAAATATACAAGTAAATAAACAATAAATATAAAACTGAATAGCTGTATCTTATTATCTAAATAAGTATAAAGTTAACATTAAGTAAACTCGAATGTATAAAGCAAATGGGTAAACATAAAAGCAAATTCTTCCACTAAAGTGCCAAAGTACGCCTAAACAAGCCCCTTAGTTTATTTAAGTATAAAGTATTTTTAGTTTATCTTGAAGTGCCTCAATGTAATTCTGACATTTTTATAATCTTCTTTTCTGATCCAAGTATTATAAAAAATTTTAATGTTTATTAAAAAGGATTAAAACTTAATCCATTTTAGTTCTATTATTCTTTGAATACAATATTGAATGCAATATTAAGTGCAACTTAATACATATCACTGTCCTAAATAAGAAAACTAAATCATTTTTTTGTGTTATTAAGTACAATTCTTTGCTTAATAGATAATCGCTATTTATAGAAATGATGCAAGGAAAATGATAAAAATTATACAACTTGAGAAGTCGAGATAAAAAAAAATATCTCAAATAAAATAATTTGATTTAAGTTTACACTGATAATTTAATATGATTTTCTGATTTATTGACGTTATTTTTACAAAATAGAAACTGTTTAATTTTTAATAAATAATATACATCATAAAAAGTAACTTGAATAAGTCAATATTCACTTGCTTTTGGTCAAAATATCAGTAAAACGTTTAGCAATCAATTATTGAACAAAAATTGCCGGTTGATTTGGATTAATATTTCAAACGTATACAAATGTATACGTTGATTAAACGTTGATTAAACGTTTAGAGTATTGGTCAGCATAAATTACCATTCTAAACGTTTAGTAAGCGTTTAATAAACGTACATGTTTAATTAAAGCGTCCATTACAAACCAAGATTTTATTCTCAACGGATAATTGACCACAACTAAAAGTTTTGCTTTATAGACGTTTATGTGTTTATCAGATAACAACAAATTTTTAAATTTTAATAAACTGTTTTGATAATACGAAGAAGCTTTTCAAGAATTTGACATACAAAGTATTCAAATAAGTCATTAAATACATATTATAGGTATAGATGTGCAGCCGTTACGCAGTGGTTACAGCTTTAGAATCAGAATCAAGAGGTTGAAGTTTCGGTTTCTTTTTTTGCCATACGATTGAAATTGGTCGGGAAAGACAAAGTAAACCTCGTTAAAAACTCTTCCATGGTGCTCTGTTGTAAACCTGTTAGGTTTTTTTGGAGCGTATTAACAACAAGAAAAAAAAAGAAAAAATAGATGTGAACGCAATAAGCTTTGCTTTCTACACCGCGCTATTAAAAAATTGTTACAACAAACTTGCTTTTTGGAAGTACGAACGCCAAAAAAATTTGTCATTATAAACGATATTTATATTGAAGTTGTTAAATAGTTTAATAAGAAAACCAAAATATTTGTCACGGTTTTTACGACAAACGTTACGTCGTTTGTTTAAATAAAAAAGACATGTTTAATTTAAAAAATTGAATAATAAATTACTGTTTTGCTTGCATAAATAAAGAATTTATTTGTTTTAAAGCGCATAAAATTGATTTTTGTAATTAGTTAATGGTAAATAGGCGGGAGTCAAATTTTTTACTCGCTCAATATAAATGCAGTTCTAAATTTATTAGCATTACAGACAAAATTACTATTATTTTAAATGTAAGCAACAATAAAATGTAAAAACAATAAAAACTATTTATAGCAATAAATAAAAACAATAAGTATTAAAAACTATTTATAGCAAAGTATCATTCTTTACGTATAAATTCATTACAAAACTCTGTCTACAATCATAAAATTTTAAATTTTTTAAAACTCTATGATTGCAGACATGATCTTTAATTAATAAACTTTTTTAAAGAATAACGGTGCAAAATAATTTTGAATTAGTTTTTTTTTTTATTTAAAGTCCTGAATCAGGGCCGACGACATGGTTTTTGAAGTGGGGGGGGGGGGGGGGCACAATTAATAATTTGTGAAAAAAGTCCTCTATATCAAGATTTTTTTTTTTTTAAAAAAAAAAAGTTTCTTTAGAAAAAAAGTGGGGCACTTGGCCCATCCTCGGTGTTGTCGGCCCTGTAAATATATTTGGTAAATATTTTTGGAAGAAAAATATTTAATAAATTTAATAAATAAATAAAATGCAGTTTAAATAGTAATGAAAACAGTTTAAAGAAAATTGCCGTTTAGAAAACGTGGACGCAGTTTAAAAAACGATAGATCCAGTTTAGAAAACGATGGATGCAGTTAAAATTATTTTGCTGATAATTACCTCAATTGCTGTTCTCACTAATGGTATTTCTTTTTATTTCTTATACAAAAAGCAAAAAAAAAACAACTATGTTATCTTGTGTATTAATTTATGTGTTAGTGATATATTACAGAGCGTTGCTGGATATATACCAGCTCTGTTTTTTGATATAAATATGCAAAAAGCAACAACATTGTGCAAATTATCTGCCTTTTTTATTGCTTTTCCTTCGTTTACAACAATTGCGATGCTCTCTGCAATGGCTCTTTCCAGAATGGTGTTGCTAAGCCTATGCTTTCAAAGTAATCAAATTAACTACAAAAAACTGTTTATAAGAATTGCAACTGCTTCATGGATTTATGGTTTCATTTGGGCGGTCTTGCCTTTTCTGGGATTTTCTTCGTACACCTTAGAAAACACACGTGCTAGATGTTCTATTAATTTTTCTCCCAAAAAAAATGTAGAAAAGCTTTATTTAATTTTATTGATGGCTTTTGGATTTGTTATTCCACTAATATCAATTATAGCGTCTTGTTTATTTACAGCTCGCGTGATTACTACAAAGTATAAATATTTTTGTGTGACTTACGGTAAAGATAACGATGAAACAATACGGTATAAAGAGAAAGAAAAAAAGACATTTTTTTCATTTTTAATAATGGTGTTATCATTTGCAGTCTGTTGGACACCGTACGCTACAATTGGTTGTTTCTCAGCATTTACGTCATTTAAAATACCACAATGGCTTCTTCATGTAGCCGCTTTTTTTGGGAAGCTGTCGGCATTGATAAATCCATTTATTTATTATTGGAAGGACGGTTTATTTAAAAAGTGTTTTTTGAACAAAAGATTAAAAGCTACTAAAACATTCTTAATAAAAAATCAAGAAACTAACCAAGTTGACAAATAATACTTGTAATTAAAATTGAGAAAAATTTTAAAAGACTTAATTATTTTAAACAAAACTATGTGCTATATTTAACTTAAATAAGGAAAAAAAAAGTTAAATTTAATGTTTCAAAAATCTTTCTTTATTATTGTTTTCCCGTAAACAATAAACCTTTAAGGAAAACTACTAAAACTTGTGAATCTATTTTTTCAATTTTAAAGTCTGGACATGAGGTACCTATTTTTAATAATTTTTTATAATTATCTTACAATCTTATATTGAATTTTTTATGGACTTTAAATTCAAGTCCCCAGATTTTCTCAGAAAATGTATTTTTCATTTTTCAAATACATTTAAATTTCCCCATATAAATATATAAAATTTGTCATTAGGTTAGCTTTAAGAAAAAGATATCGCTATAAGTTTAATGAGATTCATCAAATTTGTTCTTCTGCTATTTTCAAAAAAAGTAAACATATCAAAACATATAAAGAAAGAAAATATCCAAATATGAATGGATATAGAAAAGGCTACATATGAAATTATTAGGGATGGTCTTAAGATATAGCTTTATATAGAATGTATATTGTAGAAAATTTTTCTTTCCACAAAAACACTTTTCTGATTACTAACATGTTGAAAGTCCTATTTTTGGTTACTTTTTGTAAGGACTTAAGAAACATTAAAATATGATTTTAAAAAGTTAAATTAAAAAACTTGTTTTAAACAACAACTATACATAATAATGTTTTATTTTCTCCCAACATTTTAAATACCATCTAGAAAATACCCCTTCGGATGCGCATTGTTAAACCACCCAGAGATAGGCATGGTTTTTGAGCTTTCCATCTTTGATTCATTGAAATGAATGTAATTGAAAATAGACTTGAGAATATATATTTTTTAAATCTTTGTTTTTTCTATGGCTTTTGCTCAAAACCTTGCAACAAATTTAAGGTTAGTAAAATATGCTAAAATTTATGTTTTATTAATTCCTTATGTTTGAGGTAGGGAGAGCGTACTTTTTAAGATATTTTTGTTCTTAGGCTTTAACCACCGTAAGTTTTTGCTAAACGTTCTCATTTGACATAGGTATGAATATACTTATGTTTGCAGTTTACACAACTCCTAAAAGTGTACTGTCTAAAACATTCTAAATAGTTCTTTTTATTTTACATATAATTGTAAATTTTTGCAGGAAAATGAGTCTGGAATTTGTATTGCAAAATGAAATTGAAACAGCGAGGCTTTTTCATATATGAACAAATAATGTCAAAAAAGGCAAAGTTTAATTAAAGAAACAAAGCGTTAAATAATTATCATAAACAAAACAAATATAAAAATGCTTAAACTGCAATTATCGTAAGTAATATATTAATTCATCACCTATAAATATATTAATTTATCATCTATAAATATATTAACTTATCATCTATAAATAGATTAATTCATCACCTAGAAATTGAAAGTTTTTGATTATCAAAACAATTGAACTTTCAGTTTGTAAGTAAATTTTACAGACAATCTAGATTTTCTCGCTGTCTGATAACAATATGTTTGTTATTGTATATGTCTGTTTCTGTAAACAAACATCATGTTTGTTATTATAAATTGATATATTTAGCATAAAAAATATATTTTCAGTTTGAATTTCATTTTAGGACTTCTATGCTACGTACCTATCAAAATGTTATACAAAATAAATTACTGTCATAAAAAAAATATTGCTGTCGTAAAAAAAAATTTCTGTCACAAAAGCGTAACAAGTTTAGTGTTAGTTTAGTAAAATTTAGAGGTTTGAACACTTTCTCACATGCAATTCTAAGTTTGATCATTATGAGAAGTTCGATTATTTGCGTTATTTGTGATAAAGAAAGAATTTAATGTCATAGCTGATTCTATAACTTTTAGTTCTAGAGTTTTTAGGCTTTAACTTTGTGGCTAACTTAAATTTACAAATGAAGTGGCATCTCTAAAGGCGGACAACTTTTTAAACGTATTTTTTGCGTGTGTGTTTTTTGTTTTTTATTTGTTTTTTAATTTAAAAAAGAAAAAAGAAAATGAAAAAATAATATATAAACGAATAATATCTTATGCATTGGTTGCTGCGCAACAATATCCTTCAGGCAGTTATTGGCAATTTGTAAAGTTTTATTTAAACACTGTGGGCCAGAGAAACCGCCAGGTTCAATACCATGTCAATCACTCTGTGATGAAAATATAGTTTTTATATTTCAGCTAAAGTTAAGACGCCAAAGCAAAGAAAGTTCGCATTTGAACTTGGTCAGTTTTTTGAGTACACCACCTTTTGGGTGAAAGCATTCTATTTTTTATAACATCGTTAATGAGGAAGTTGTTTCTTTCTGCTCAGTTTTGTACAAGTTGTGCTTTCAGTTGTTTGTGTGTACATGCGTTCAAAGACTGAACTTTAAAGACTCAGTGTTTGGTTGAATCTGAGAGAATGAGAAGTTAATTTTGTTAATTTTGATGATGATTTTGCATTGCTTATAAGGTCTCTTTTTTCGCTTCGTTCAGTAACCGTTGTCAAGTTAAGTCTTGATAGTCTCTAAATATAGGGCAAGTGTTTTAAGTTGGCTATATATTTTATAGCTTGATGTTAAAAAGCTAGAAATAATGATTGCTTATACTGCAAACTCTAAATGTGGGCGAACATATGAAGTACTCAGTGCGTGCCGCAATGCTGATCTTCGACCTTAAAAAGATTTCTTGAGCATGTCAAGCATTCGGCTGGCAACTAATACAGGCGTGAAAAATTGTTTTTTATAAAACAGGTTGTTAGTCATAACAACGTATAGGTGTTGTTCAGATGTTGTACATGACAGCTGATGCAGTTGGTCTGTTAAGTTATTCATTGTATAAGTTGCAGTCGATTTTTTGGTGTTGCTGCAACCAGTTTACATCATAAAACAAATTACAAACAAGTCAATTTTTTGGCAGTTTTTACCTTCCCTTTCCCTGGTCAATAATTTGTCAAACTTCCATGGCCCGCTCTCCTGCCCTTCCCCCTCCTTCTCCGATAAAATTACGTCAATATTTGACTACTCTTCTTTCTCCCCTCCCAACCCCCTCTCCCAATCTCATCAATAAAATTAAATATAGAAAAACATCTTTTTTATCTTTTAATTTAATTTATTTTAAAAAGTAACATTGTTAGCGTCAACTTTTCTTGACTTTCCGCTTTCATTTGTCAACAGTTGTAAAAAAAATTTTTACTTCTCCCCCCTATTTTATTGAAGTAACAAATGCACATATCTTAATTATGTTTAAAATTTAGTTCAGTAGTATTATAAAAAAGTAACAATAAAAAACGTAATTTTTCTTATATTTTGCAGTGTTTTTTTTTAAACATCGATGTGTAAATGGTTGTTGTTAATACGTAGAATAATATACATTATATCAAATAAAAACCATGTATATTTCAAAGTTTATTTGAGATGGATTCATTAATATCTATAATTTAAAGAATATTAACAAAAAAACACATAAAAAACATACTTTTAGGAGTGCTCTATTTTTTTTTTTTTTTTAAAAAAAATGTGCTTTTTTAAAAAAAAAACGCGTTAGTTTTTTATCCGCCGCAACTAAATGTCTTTAGTTGCGGCTCATAAAAAAGAAAATAGGTTGGAGAGGTGCTTTTATCCAAGAAAGGTATTTTCTTTGATGGCTTTTTGTTCTCTAGACCAGTACTTACACAAACTATTTGCTACTCGGGGGCAAAATCGATGACGCTTATAGAATCATGCAAATCAATAAAACAAAAAAAGATGGCGTAAATTGGCTTTCTTTATCGCATAAATATTATTCTGAATTAACTCAATACATTTATTAATTAATATTCTTTTTTCTGAATTTGGGGTTCGGTACCTTTTTAAAACAACACAAGGTCTTTCAAACTAGTTTTAGGACGTTTTTGCACGTATCCATTGCATCAGGTAATATTGGTGTTATGTTTCGCAGCTTATAAGCTATATTATGATTTGACAACATCATTGAAAGAAGAAGTGATACCATCTCCCAAATACTCTTTGTATATAATATTGTGCTTTTAAACACCAACAGACATCATTGCTCCAAAAGATTTTTTGTGTTTTATCTGGCAGTTGTGGTCCAGCTTCCATACCTGGTAAATCAAAGTACCTTTCTTTTTTACTTACATTTTAAACCCAAAACAATGCCTTAATTATTTCAGTGACTATAGACTTATCTCCAGAAGATGAGGTTATGATTCCATTTAATGAGGAGTGTTACCTCTTCTGCCATGAACTATCAATTAAAACACAAGTGCAAAATATATTTTTAGTTTTGCAACCATTGCTTTTTACTTAAGTTAATTTTGCTTTTTACTTAAGTTGTTAAAAAAGAAAATATACATTTCAAGTTCTTTTTAGAAGAAAAACTCTTCATGGCAAAAAACCTTACATCTTTTTCTCAAAAGCAAATGATAGCACAATGATAGCATTTACATCAAATCCTTGATGACCTTGTTTAGTAACTTTACTTGATTCAATTGCTACGATATTGAAATGAGTAATAATAAAAAAGTTATTGGCATCACTCTCATATTACACAAAAGAGTTATTATTTTTGCCTACATCAGGAACAAATGAAAGCTTTTTTGCAGTGCTATATTGATCACTCAAATTATAAAAAAAAAAATTAAACATCATAAACAGCAGCATCTTGGTCTAGAACTATGTCATTCCATATTCTTTTTCTTTTACGAGAAGATTTTTTTGTTACATTTCACTTTGTTCTTGGTTTTTTTAGTGCTATTCATTGTGTATATATACTATAAATTATAACTAATACATATTATATATTATAACTAATATATACTATATACTTTGAATATATACTATATATTATAACTAAACAAAATAGGAAGTAGTATTATGCATAATAATCGGATTTTTAAAATATTGCCTTAATATATCTTCTCTAAAGCTGTTTAAAATTAGGTTTCTTTTTTTTACATGCAAAGTTGAGAATATATGGAGAAACTCTTTAGGGATTGGGGGCTAACAAAATGTTTCGCTGTTATTATAAAACTTTATTAGTTAAAACTCTATACTATCA